ACTTCAGTGGTCCCCAGCTTAAAAAAACAAACGAACAAAAACAAACAAACAAACAAACAAAAAAAGTGAAATAAGAGGATTCTATTACTCTCCAGCCAGGATCAGCACGATCACGTGAGTGCATGTGCATGCTTCAGTACTGGGGTGGGCAGAGGCAAGCAGGCGGCAGAGAGGAAGGAAAGCTGCCCTAGCAGCTCATTGAGAGTTAGATTTTTCTAAGATTGTTTATCAGACTCAACTTTAGATCACTAAAAATTCTGCTATTCACTAGCCAAAAATTCCCAATATTTGGGAACACAGGGTAAAGAAAATTATACCAAATTTGCTCTACTCTCTCTGAAATGCCACATTTCCTTGTATTAGCTCTGCATCACAGTGCAGAGAGGAAAGCTAACAAAACACAACAGCTGGAGTGAACAAAGAATTTTTGCTATTTAGAAGTAAGGCTCTCTAAGTTTGACCAACAACTGTAGCATTAATGACACTGGTTATTAGAGGAGACATGTTTTATGTTTTCTTTCCTAACTCATCGGTCAGGGGAAAATGTTGAACAGATATCCAAATATGTTTCTTCACTGGTATTTTATTACAGTTTTTTTGAAAGACAGAATTTAGAATGTTACTTTAATCTATTAAACATGATTTTGGCTTCTTCCAGAATATAGGAAAGCTTATAAAGATCAAGATGTTAAGAAATCATTAAATTGTCTTACTTTTCTATAGGATGCCAGTGAAGATTGTTATTTTCAATTTATTGAGAGAGGGAAAAAAAATCTATGTTTTTTCATATATATAACCCCACCCCAAGAAATATATTTTCTATCAGAAAAAAATTCTTGGAACAATGTAGAGATTGGTGATAAAAGAGATATAAATGAAGAGTGTTCAGTATAAGTAAATTTTCTTTTAAGGAATCCTCTAAATTGCTTCATTAAACTGGAGAGTTCTATTGACCATTTAGAAGATCGTTAGATTATTCTCTATATACCAGATTAAGAATAGAATTTAATAGAATTTTAAAAGAAGGCTAAAGAGGAAGAAGATGAAGAAACTGAAAACTAGAGACCCAAAAATAATTTTTAATGAATCTCAGACCTATCAAATAATTAGTTTAGTGTTAATGTTCTCATCTTTTTGCAACACCAACCAAAACAACCTTTTCGACTAACTGGGCACAAAGGCGATTGCCTCAAACAGAGGGCTGGTGAAGCCTGACACCACCAGCACCACCCCCGTGGTGCAAAGGCACAGGATGCACTGACGGCGTGGGATTTACCTACATGCGCTCGAATTCTAATGCCAACTTACAAAGACAGGACAGTGCAGGGGCAATAGAAATGCAAATTCTTTCACATAAGAAGAAAACTGTGCAGACAGGGCACCTGTGTATATCACGAACATGATTTCCTTCCTAATCGAAGGACTGTCTTTGCCACTGTGGATTGTGATCGTGGATTGAGAACAAGCTCTGATAAGGAAAAGCTTTAGTGTTACTCATAGAAAATGATGATTCTTAACTTTCAGTTGAGAGATTGGGCTTATTTAAAAAATAAATCTTATAAATAATTATTTGGCAAAAATAAAGTATTAGCTTTCTTTAGCCTTAAGCCACTAAAGACAGTAACACCAATTTTAAGGGGAAAAAAAAAAGTACTTTTCAACTTGATCTCCATACTTACTATAAGCTTCTTATTAAATTATAATCTCAGAGAGGGACACTAGACACACCACACTGCCTGCCAACATGAAATTGCTCAGGAAATCATTTATAAAGCAGTTATATCACACACAGTAGGTTACTAGAGAAAATAATCCTTTGCTGTACAAGCTATGCGACGATAATTAGAAAATTTTTCCATTGCATAGTCTGTCACTTGGTGGGTTAAGTATAATTGCTACTTACTATCATGAGTTGTTTACTAGCTACATAACCTACCCACATGTGCAAATTGCTAAGCCATTTTTACAGAGAAAAAAACAATGCCTTAAGTACTTTAATTAAAATAATATTAATAATTATGTAGAGAGAGTAAAGGAGAGAAAGCCCATTTTTCCTTCAGATGCTACAGATCACTGCCAGGGAGTATCATACATTAGAATGAAATTCAGATTCTCAGAGCACAGAATGTATCCATTAACTGCAGCAACTTCATAAATTAAATCACAGTAACACAATCTAACTGGCCTTTATAAATGGTCCCAAAGAACTGCAGAAACAGAATGAACCTTCTTTGCCACTATTTCTCATGAGCTTAACACTAGAATAACAGCTAGTTTCCACCTAATTAGGCCCTTATGTAAGATCTGTTTTTGATTCCAGTATTGCCTTATGATAGCATTAAGTGCTGTTTTAAAAGACACTAATTTTTCTATTTCTGGAGTAAAAGACAACTTCATTCCTTTCTTCACATATTAATAGCAAACCTACTACTAATAGACTAGAATTGCTCCATTAACTAGAAGAAACACATAACAGATATCTCTGGGCTTACAGATGTTCTTCTCTCTTCCAAAAAGGGACTCACAAGAAACAGCAAGAGCAAAGCAAACTGCAAGCTTGTTTATTTGTTTTGAAGTAGATGAAATGAGAGGAAAGGTTTGGTTTTGCTAATTCCTCAAGTCTACACTGGTACTTTGTAAGAGTGCCCTTTCCTCAGCTATCATCATGGGCATCTAAACAAAAATGTATTTACTCAAAGTTTTTGGTGTGAAGCTGTAACTGGCAACATTCCTGATCGTTTGTTTCATGCCTCCTTACTAAAAGCAGAGGTCTGCTTTCAAATGCACATAAAACAGAAAATTGCAAACAATAAAACGTGCAACTTACTGCAAACTCAGTTTTGATAACTGGAGAATTTTAAGCAGCTAACACAAGGGATACATAGCCAGAAAAAGTTCAAATCGACTACCCATGGCTTTCCCTTCACTGTCAAAGAAAGGCTGATGAGGAAGTCATCTTGCTGCTCTGCTACAACCTCTAATTAGTACACAATGGAGACTAAACCGAATTGCTAGGGATGGACAGTTATCTAGTGACGATTTTAACAGGTTGTGAAAATACTTTAGCAAACTAAATGACACTTTTGAGCAGAGGTAACTACTCATAATCATTTTATTACAGTACATTAAAATAAAAAAGCTTACTAACAGAGGTTCACAGGTGAGAAATACTCAAATTACCTGTTCTCACCGTTCAGAATAGAAATTTATGGTGATACCAAATATAATTTTGCTTTGTGACATAATTTATAATTTAGAAATTTCTCAATCTGCAAAAAAGGCAAAGCTATTAAAAATAAATCTTCCAATCAATTATCATGATTAAAAAAAATTAAATATATTACAAACATATTTTTGGCCCACAAAAAGAAACTTCAATAAATACAAAATAGGGCATATAATGATCTCATACAGTCATGTGACATTTCCCCTCCACGATCTCAGGCACGTGGTTATCTGCATAATGCCTGCTGATCACCATCATTCCTTTAAAAAGCAGAGAAAGAAACGCTTTCAAAAGAAGAGACTGGTTAGAACTACCATGGCATAAAGAGATTACACATAGGAAGAAGTAGGAAAATACATCTAAATCTTTACCTATTAGAGAGGAATTAAGATCAAATATTCCCTGACAAATGAATTATTGAACCACATCATTAATAGATATGTTCTCTCTACTTAACTTTTAAAATATATATATGTAAATTAGACTAGACTCAGGTATAAATAGCCAATGGTATCTCAAGGGACAGTGAAACTTTCAGCAAAAGCAGAGCAGAAACGCCTTTAAAATCTAGTTCTACCCTTCTCTGGGGGTGCGGGGAGAAAGGCAGGCAAGAAGAAACCCCACATATTCATTTCGTAGTCATCAACTTACTAAACTACCCAATATGACTTTTAACCCTAACATCTTGGTATTTTAAAAAAATTTACCAAAACTATTTCCAAATTTACTTAAATCTAAGTACTTAAATTATTTTAAAAGTACCAAAGGGTGGATAAAATTTGTATCTAATTTCCATATTCTGCTTTGAAAGAAACTTTAAAATGTGTATCCTTCCGATATTACACATCACTTCACAACTGGTACACTGATTCTACAAGTGTCTTCAACATTTTACAAATCTTACCAAAGAATCACTACTGTAAACATGAAAAATTCAAAAGCAAAAGATGGATCAAGGAGTTCACAGATCCCATCTTTTCAAATCTATCTGACCTATCCTGCTTTTTCACATCAGTACATTTTCTTTAATTACATCTTGCAAATGTATTCCATGAGAGAGGGACTTAGAAACAAACGTATGTCTGAAAAGGCAAAGTGACCATCAGGCCCCAGAACCTCAACAACCCTGCAGTCACTCCGGACAAGCTTTTCATGACATCCCCATGTCACTGACATGAATTCAGCTTTTTGTATTCTGTTTTCTTCTTGGGGTAACTTTTAGTAGAAAAAGGTTGTGCTATTCACACAACCAGACCACCACCCTCCCTATTCAGGAAACTTTAGTTAACTCAGTGGAAAAGAATGGCCAATCTTATTAGGGTTGTGAGATGTAGATAAGGAGAAAAGTTAAGAGCCTGATACTCATTACAAGGAGGAAAAAAAAAAAAAAACCAATGCGACAGTTGCTTCCTGCGCTGCACAAAAACACACACATGAGCACACGCATACTCACAGGCAGTCAAAAGACAAATTTTCTTCTTTTAGTTAAACATGATCACAATTAGGAATGGAATCCTGGCCTCACTGTGACATTTAGCAGTTGGTGCTAAGTCAGAACCTCAACCTGCCACGCACCATTTGCTATCTCTTACACTGGAACTCAGTTAATAGGATTCATTCTATCTAGAACCACTTATGTAAAAACCTGGCAAAAGAATGGAAAGCATTGATCTGAATACTACGATATAGTAAAGGGCACTGGTAATCTGAGGTATCTTCCACTTCTAGGACTTGCTGCTAAAAATCCATCCTATCCAGTCACTGTGCTGAACCACTAGGGAAACCACTGGGGCCAAGTAGACCTGCCAGGAGGGAATGAGCACCAGTGCTGAGGAGCACATGTGAACACTGAAGCAAGGTCCACTGCAGGGCCACTTGTTGAACTGGGAACGGGGTGCCCCTCGAATCCCCATCTGTTATTTTTAAAATCTTCTTTAGGAAAAGGGGAGAGGGGTGCTGAAGAGGAAACAAAGATAGAAAACACCAGGTTCCCCACCTGCCTGCAAACACACAGACACACTCAATTAGGGGAGGGAAAGGGAGAAGATGCATTATTGGTACTTGTAGCTGTGGCACCTGTTACTGTGAAGCCTGTAGGAGGGGCTATAGAGCTGTGGCTGGGCTGCAGGTCCTTAGGAATGCCACTGTGAGAACTCAGCTGGTGGCCGAAGGCTGCGCTGAACTGAGGGAGTTGCTGCTTGGGAGAGGTGGAGGCCATTAGTTCAGCAGAAGGCCCCATGCCACTGAAGCTGGTCTGCGGTAACCCCGGAAGCACACTGGAGCTGCTGGGGGTCACGGTGGCGAAGGCAGGCTGTGTGGTCTCTGAGTTCGAAGTGGTGGGTGGTGTGGATAGGGAAGTAGAAAGAAGATGTCCATCTGCGCCAAGAAGGTTGCTAAATGGAGAGGGATCTCCAAGGTTGACAGGGAGATTACCCCAGTGAGTTCTGGGGTTTACCACTCCTCCAAGTGGCACCTCGAGTTGGGTTGGGAGCAGGTGCTGCGCCATGATGGGCATCTCCGCTGAAAAGGTAGCTGCCATATTATCACCAGAGTAAGATGTTGCATGGGGAGAGGTGATATGGTCACTGTAGGGAGACGGCACGTGCTCACTATCATAATGGCTTCCATGGGGCGAGGAGTGTGAATGATCACTGCTGTATTGCTGTCGTGAGGTGATTAGGTCATCTGCCTTGCTCAGCAGCTGGGCAGGATGTGGCCTCTGGGAGGCATGGCTGCCATCATGAAGTCCATGGAACTGTCCTGGGAAGGCTCTCTCCCCAAGTGCACTCTGGCTGATCAGAGTGGCAGAAGTAAGGCCAACGTTGGCTGGGGCAGAGAACTGCCCCTGGATCTGCCCTGCCAGGGGTGTAGGTGGGTTAGACAACGTAGCAGAACGGAGCAGGTTCTCATCCAGCTCTAGACTAGAAAAATTATCATGTACTATACGCCCATTCAATAGCTCCCCTAGGTCCGTGTTTACTTCTCGGCTCAGGGACTGGATTCCTGAAGCTCCAGTACCTGTGGAGAACACCCCTATTCCTCTATCTGACAACTCCTGGACTGGCACACCATCTGACTGGGCAAGGACCCCAATGGTACTCAGGCACTCGAGAGAAGTTACAGCCTGCAAGGCCCGTTCAAGCTCCTCGGCCTCTTCGGTAGTCGGGAGGAGGTCTCCATTCTTCCCTGAGTCAACAAAAGCCATAGAGAATCAGTAGAGCTTTTACCGGTTCTATATCACATAAATCATACATGTGAATTATTTTAAACAATACTAAGTTTCCAAGATTTGGACTGGAAGGAAAAAGTGAAAAATTAATGTAGAGGACACGTCTGAAATGGCAGCTATCCTGAAACTTGAATCATCATCTTCAGTTTATTTACAATACTCTCAAAAACCATCTAATACAAGTGTCAAATTCTTAGGAACTCTAAGGATTACCAATTTAAAACTCACAGTAAGTATTTGATTATACAGGTTTTTGCCTAAAATTATACTAATGTCATTAAAATAGAAAACATATCAATTCAGATGTGGGACAAAGGCTGCACAGAACAGGCCCGCCTTGCTGTTTCTACTCCTAGACCCTCCTGCTGGAGGGCAGCCATGGAAGACTGGATCACAGAAGTTCATGCATCAACTTTAGCACGACTCTAAGCACTCGGTTCATTTCATGGATTATCTTTCAAAATGCTTCTGCTTTACTCTCTGATCCTTCCCCCATATTCTTTTCCCATTTCTAACTAATTTTCACAAAATGGAAGCCCACAGATCTACTTTGATTTCATTTCTATTATTAAAAAAAAATCTGTTGTTAGGAACTTGATTAATCAGCATGAAAATACCCAATTTTTAATGGTGAAAGAAACATTCTAAGAGTATAAAAGATTTCCCCTGAAAGCACTGGGGAATTGGTGGGATTAGGCAAACTTTGTTTTGGGAAAGTGTACTCCAATTGAGGGTGGGGTATTAAAATCAGGGCAAGTTCTAAAAGACCTCAATAAATTTTGTTCAAAAATAAACTAAATTTATTTCTTTTAAAGGAACAAAGTTATAAACCTAGCTATCAAACGATAAGATGGCTAAACAAATTGCACATTCCTCATCATCTGAAAAGGGTAAAATAGCTTTAGCGGTACTGTTTTCTATCTACAGTGAAAGACATTATATTTGAAGAGGAAAACTTCAAACAATCTCAAAAAACCATTTCCTTTCTTCTAAGCTCATTTTTTTTTTTTTTTTTGAGACAGAGTTTCGCTCTGTTGCTTGGGTTAGAGTGCCGTGGCATCAGCCTAGCTCATAGCAACCTCAAACTCCTGGGCTCAAGCAATCCTTCTGCCTCAGCTTCCTGAGTAGCTGGGACTACAGGCATGCGCCACCATGCCCGGCTAATTTTTTCTATATTTTTAATTGTCCGATTCATTTCTTTCTATTTTTAGTAGAGACAGGGTCTCGCTCTTGCTCAGGCTGGTTTCGAACTCCTGAGCTCAAACGATCCACCCTCCTCGGCCTCCCAGAGTGTTAGGATTACAGGCGTAAGCCACCGAGCCCGGCCTTTATAAGCTCATTTTTAAAACCGGGACCCTTCAAAATGAAGTTTTCATAGTAAGAACAAAAATTTAAAAAAAAATGAAAAAATAAAATAAAATAAAACCAGGTCCTTGAATGAAAATATTGACCATACCTTCAAAAAAATCAAAATCTTGTAAGTCATCAGGCAGCCGTGGCAGGACATCTGAAAAGTCCTCCTGGTTCAATTCCAAGTCATGTGGAATGTCCGTGATTTCATTGGCAATGTCATCTGGCAACTCATCAGCACTCAGCTCTGGCGTGGATGGGCTCCTGGGAGAGAGGGCATGGATGGGAAAAATGGCACAGCTGGCCCCAGGGCCCCCCTCACCCCATACCTTCGCACCAGTGTCACAGAGACAAGTGCATCCAACAGGAAAAGAAGCTACTGTCTTTCAGGCTTTTTGCATTCAGTCCAAACATAGGAAATCCTAACTTTAAGTGTCTCCTCTCCTACTTTAAGAGAAGGAAATTTGAAAGCAGAGGCATTGCAAAAAGACCTCACTGTATGCACGGATTTCTGCAACCCTTACCCATGTATTAAGAGTCAACAAACATTACTAGATAATATTTTTACTTCAAATTAGTAGAATGAGTCACAATTTGGTGTATTAAGTATGTCAATACTTTCTAGTAGAATTTCAAATCTGCTCAAAATAATAATTTAAAAAATGAAATAAACAACAGGTAAAATTGAAATGCTTACTGAAACAGAAGCCTCATTCGCCTGGTCAAAATGCTTAACTCAGCCAAAATTAATAGCTCATATTTCCTTTTCTTTTTTTTGAGACAGAGTCTCGCTCTGTTGCCTGGGCTAGAGTGCCATGGCATCAGCCTAGCTCACAGCAACCTCAAACTCTTGGGCTCAAGCAATCCTCCTGCCTCAGCCTCCTGAGTAGCTGGCACTACAGGTGTGTGCCACCACATCCGGCTAAGTTTTTCTATTTTTAGTTGTCCAGCTAATTTCTTTCTATTTTTAGCAGAGACGGGGTCTCGCTCTTGCTGAGGAACTCCTGACATCAAACAATCCTCCTGCGGCCAGGCGCAGTGGCTCACGCCTGTAATCCTAGTACTCTGAGAGGCCAAGGCGGGTGGATCATTTGAGCTCAGGAGTTCGAGACAAGCCTGAGCAAGAGCGAGACCCCGTCTCTACTAAAAAAAAAAAAAAAAAAACCCGGAAGAAATTAGCTGGACAATTAAAATATATATAGAAAAAATCAGCCAGGCATGGTGGCACATGCCTGTAGTCCCAGCTACTCGGGAGGCTGAGGCAGAAGCATTGCTTAAGCCCAGGAGTTGGAGGTTGCTGTGAGCTAGGATGACGCCACGGCACTCTAGCCCAGGCAACAGAGCGAGACTCTGTCTCAAAACGAACAAACAAAAAAAAAACACAAAAGAAGCAAAGCAATCCTCCTGCCTCAGCCTCCCAGAGAGCTAGGATTACAGGTGTGAGCCACCATTCCCAGGCCAGCATCATATTTCTGATGGAATATTTCTATTGGAACATACACGGAATTTCTGTTGGAATTTTTAAAAGCTGAGCATCTTTTTTCTTTGTTGTAATCAAAAGCTTTATTTCAGATCTAATACAGCCCAGATAGAGATGAAATTTGTACCCCAAACTGTAAAAAGTCTAGGCTGATATGCTGAATGGCTTTTGTAGCCTAGTGCCTACTTTATGGTATCCACATGAAGCTAGATGTTCTGAGAACAACCAGAAAACATAAAGAGAAAGTAAATCCCAGTGCCACCACTGACCGGATCTGAGAGGTCTCCACTGGCAGTGAGACGCTGGTGGGCATGCTGAGGTTCCCTTGGGGGACGGCAGGGGGAATGGGTTTTTGGGGTCGGCGAGGTCCACGCCTTCTCTTCTTCTTGTGTTTTTTGGTAAGTGCAGGAGGCTTGGTTTTTTTCCTGGGTTTCCTCTGCTGCTGGTGCTGAACTTTACGGGAGTTATCTCCTCTCAAGAAATTATCCTTTGGAATGAATAAGTGGATTTTTAAAAACTGAAATAACTTGGGAAAAACCTAACAGCTATCTAAAAAAAATACTTTTATCTCTTAATATTCTATACAATACCTAAAACATACTTTATGCCTAAAACTACGTATAACAATAATTAAATAAACAAAAAATAATTCCTTTAATTCACATCCAGACTCCAGAACTGTAAGATACAAATTTCTGTTGTTTATAAGCCACTGATTCTATGGTTCTTTGTTACAGCCATGCAAATGAATTAAGATGCCATATTTCATCAATTCCAAGATCTACATTTTAAAAATATGTCTGTAATATGGAAGCATTTTACAATTATTGGCATATTACAATTTCTGTCAGCCAGGTGAAGGTCATTATAGTTGGCACTGCCTATACACGCCCAAACTTGGTTACAGTTCATTGTATTGGCATTGTTTGAATTAAGGTATGTGCACTGTTGATACTGTATATGGAGGAAAAAATTTTGTGTGTGCAGAAAGACACAAAGAGCAGCAGGGTATAAAATTATTAGTAAAGCAGATATTCATTATTGAAGAAATGAACATAATTCCTTTTTTTTGTTGTTTTTTTTCCTGCAAAGCAACAACAAGGTGAGAAAGGAAAATAACTACAGAGTAGATGAAATTGTGTTATAACTGAAGTGTGTAGAAAATATCGACTTTCACATGTCAAATAGTATAGCTGAAACCAGGAGTGATATAAAAGACAAAACCTATATCTAAATAAGTCTTTAAAAAACTCTTTCAATAAGTATAAAACAAAAATTTTAACTGTTAAGAAAGCATGGTATCATTGGCAGCATTATAAAACATATATAAAAACAGTGGGTTTTGCAATTGATGCCACCTGATTTGATTCTATAATAGCTCTTATAACTAAATACACTATAACTATCACTGGCATCAAATTCAAAACAAGAAAATAAAACTAAAGCATAAATTTAGGAAATCTAAAAGAAGTTTAATCCCACTCAAATACTTAAATGCAAACATAATTATAGACTCTTAAGACACAAACACACAAATTTATAAAACAAAGAAAGAGGCTGCTTCCTCGACTCCGTAGTTCTTTTTAGCTCAACACTTGAGGTCTACTTGTATGACGTCCACTATTTAATTCAACAAATAGTAAATGAGCAACTATCAGTGCCCAGCACTGTGCTCAGCATCCATTTTGGTCTTTCCCTCTGGCCCCAGTGCTGATCTCAGGCAGGAGGAAGTTAGAGAGCTCGCCCCAAGATTAACAAGTCCTACCTGTAGGACTCCTGATGATCACCTGGTTGTGGTTTTTGGCTCCTGCCTAGTGCCTCCCTGGCATTCTTGGTACGATGCCAGGTACTCCACACAGAACTGCCCATGATCAATGCCCTGCCTTGCTCAGGGCAGTCCCTCCTTTAGCTCCTCCAGAGAGCTAGAGCCCCTCCTTCCTGGAGGCTTTTCTAATGCCAACTGTTCATTTACCTAGGTGAAATTCACTCCCAACTTTCTCATTGTCTCATTCTACCACTGTGTCAGGTTAATGCAGTTACTATCTTACCATCTGTTGTATGATCTCATACCTGCTGGAATACCACATTCTGCCTGCCAGCCTGGACTTCTTGCAGCTTGACGCTCTTCTAACGATGGCTGCCGCATTCCAGTGACCAAGTCTAGCTCTGAATCTTAACCCCACCCAACCATGTGCCTGACCATTAATTCATTCAGCAATTACTTACTGAGCATTTCTGTTTTAAGGACTAAGGATATAGCAATGAACAAAAAATGTTCCTGCTCTTGTGAAGTCTATGTTCTAGTAGGAGAATATGGACAATAAACAAACAAATTAATAAATAATGGCATAGCCAAGGAAACAATCAACACAGCAACAGACAACCTACCAAATGGGAGAAAATATTTGCATGTTATAATCCAATAAAGGGCTAATAACCAGAATCTAAAAAGAACTCAAGCAAATCAACAAGAAAGAAATCAAACAACCCCATTAAAAAGTGGGTAAAAGACATGAACAGAAGTTTTTCAAAAGAAGATAGACGAATGGCCAATAAACAAATGGAAAAATGCTCAACATCTCTAATTATCAGAGAAATGCAAATGAAAACCACGATGAGATATCATCTAACTCCAGTGAGAATGGCTTTTATGAAAAAGTCTCAAAACCACAGATGCTGGTGTGGATGTAGAGAGAAAGGAACACTTACACACTGTTGGTGTGACTGCAAACTAGTACAACCTCTACAGAAAATAGTATGGAGATTCCTCAAAAAACTAAAAGTAGACCTACCATTTGATCCAGCAATCTCACTACTGGGTATTTACCCAAAGGAAAAAAAACCATTTTACCAAAAAGACATTTGCACTCAAATGTTTATCCCAGCACAATTCGCAATCTCAAAGGTGTGGAATCAATCCAAGTGCCCGTCGATTCATGAGTGGATTAATAAAATGTGGTATATGTATACCATAGAGTATTACTCAGCCATAAAAAAAAAAATTGGGCCGGGCGCGGTGGCTCACACCTGTAATCCTAGCACTCTGGGAGGCCGAGGCAGGCGGATTGTTTGAGCTCAGGAGTTCAAGACCAGCCTGAGCAAGAGCGAGACCCTGTCTCTACCAAAAATAGAAAGAAATTAATTGGACAGCTAAAAATATATAGAAAAAATTAGCCAGGCATGGTGGCGCATGCCTGTAGTCCCAGCTACTCGGGAGGCTGAGGCAGTAGGATTGCTTGAGCCCAGGAGTTTGAGGCTGCTGTGAGCTAGGCTGACACCATGGCACTCTAGCCCGGGCAACACAGTGAGACTCTGTCTCAAAAAAAAAAAAAAAAAAAAATTGAAGAATTAATACCTTCTGTAACAACCTGGATGGGACTGGAGATCATTCTCCCAAGTGAAGTATCACAAGAATGGAAAAACAAACATCACATGTACTTACTATTAAATTGGAACTAACCAATCAGCACTCATGAGCACATGAGGAAGTAAAACTCAAACGGAAATCAAACAGGTGGGGGGGGATGGGTGAAATCACACCTAATGGTACAATGTACACTATTTGGGTGATGGGCAGCTTTGACTCAAGCTGTAGAAAAGCAATTCATGTAACCAAAACATTTGTACCTCTGTAATATTCTGAAAGAAAAAAGAGTAATGGAATGTTAGATAAATGTTAGGAAGAAAAATGAGGCATAGTATGGGTACAGAGTAACAGGCAGATGGAAGACTTCTTTGATGAGGCAACACTTGATCAGAAACCTGAATGAAAGGAAGGAGTGAGCCAAGTAGAAATCTGGGAAAAGAACATTCCAGGAAAAGAAGAGAAAGTGTAGAGTTCTCGAGGTGGGAGTACACTTACAGTGTCCAAGAAACAGCAAAAGGCCAATGTTGTTGTAACTCTAGGAGCGAGGAGAGGTATGTGAGATGAAGCTGAAGAGGTTGCAAGGGCCAGATCAGAAAGTGCCTCATAGGCCATAGTAAAAATTTTGAATTTGATTTTAGATGTGATAGGAAGCCATTAAAAGGTTTCATGGTACTAAAATGATCAGATACATATTCCAAAAGGCCTGCTTTATAGGCTATATACTGTAAGATTCAATTTATATGACATTCTGGAAAATGCAAAATTATAGAGGCAGAAAACAGATCAGTAGGGACGCAGTAAAGGGTTTACTACACAGGGGTAGCACAAGAGAATTTTGGGAGGTGATGGAACTGTTCTTTATCGTGGTTATGGTGGTGGTTATACAATTGTATGCATCTGTCAAAATTCATAACCCTGTATACTTGAAAGTGAATTTAATTTAAAGAAAGTGGAACACACAACACACACCACACAATCCACCTGTGGCGGCAGGGGGCATGGCAAGAAAAGGGAGATCAATTAGGAGACTACTGCAATAAGTCAGACGAAGATGATGGTACCTAAGGGCTAGGATGGTAGCAATGAGGTTGGCAAAATGTGTCTGGGTTCAGGATATAATATGAAAGTAGAGTCAAGAGATTTGCACATAGTTTTTGTCCCTTGGTATAAGTCTCTCAGAGGGGCACAGATGGGATACAAGTGTTTGTCACAGTTTCTTATGTCATTTTTAATCTAAAACAAAAATAGTTCAAACCAGTGTCAGATTCTGCAACTGCCTTCAGAGAGAAAACCACATTCGAAAATTTGCATTGTAAAGACTTTTTACAAATCAAATTAATATTATTATTTAAGTAGTACTTTATTTTATTTTATTATATTATATATATTATTTTATGACTAATCTACATTACACTAATTCAACCTTAGGTTTGCCTCACTGATTCTGCCTTAGTAGGAATGTTTAACCAACTGAAAAGAATAAACTGCTTTAAATTTCTTTAAAAGCATTCATAATACACGTTATTGCAAGAATAAAAAATTCAGTCCTTTAAATCACTGAAGCAGACACTAAATTATATAGCTTCCCTACTTAACAAATTTTCCTATTCTTAGAAGTATGCTGAAATGGCATAACTTTAAAATAAAAATATACAGCTAGGACCATTTACTTCAGTGGCTTGAAAGCTACAGAGTCCACATTACCAAGGCTCTGTGAAATCATCAATGAAGGTCCACAAAAGTGATTCAAAAAGCACTAGAAATTATTCCTTATTCATGACAAAGCCTGAATAAGCTAACAAAAATGCCCATATTTTAAATGTTTTTAAATTAAAATGGACAATAATTATTCAACATTTGTATATGTACTTTTCAAAACATATGGTCCACAAAAGAAACTTTGAAAACAAAAGAAATTCTTGGGGAAGAAGCTAGTGAATTAGATACATGGAAACTGAGGTCTAGAAAAGGTTGAATCATGAGTCCCTAGCGATACATTTAGCTGGTGGCTAAAACCAGGATCACAACCTTAAACTAGTAAGTGCTGGTCTAATGCCCATTCCCTTACCTGATGCACCCCTGAAAACCATAAAATGTGTACAGAGGGCAGGAAGTATCTTACTTGACTTTTTAGTACATAAGTACGTAGCACAATTATCTTACAATAAGTGATGGGTGAAACAATAAAAATGAACTTATTTTTTAAATGATTACATAATTCAGGTATTTCCCTAATTCAAATTTGTCTCTCCTCCAAAGTATTCTGAACTAATTAGGGTTTATGATAATAGCATTAACTAAAACAACAATTAAGTTCAACAGAACGATAGAAAGGTTTGATTTTTGACCAAAATTATCAAATATCCAAGACATTTGCAGAATTGTATATACAAAAGCAAAAACCTAGAGAAGGACAGAGAGAGTCTAAAAATCTGCTATGTATAAATTGTGTATCTTAAGGTAATAAAGTGTATCCTTTTTTGTTGTTGTTGTTAAGACAAAGTCTCGAGGTCACCCAGGCTGGAGTTACAGTGTAGCATTATCATAGCTCACTGCAACCTCGAACTCCTGAGCTCAAGCCATCCTCCTGCCTCAGCCTCCCGAGTAGATGGGACTACAGATGCACGCCACATCATGGCAGTTGTATTTTAAATTTTTTGTAGAGACAGGGTCTCGTTATATTGCTTAGGCTAGTCTCAAACTCCTGGCCTCAAGTGATCCTCCTGCTTGAACCTCCCAAAGTGGCTGGGTGAGCCACTGGGCTCAGCCAAAGATGTATCTTAAGGTAATAAAAAAAACTGTTGTACGAAACTTGTTTCGGTGATTTACATGCACTCACAGTTTGTATTAAGCCACAAAGTATTTCCTACAGTGAATAGTTATCGAAATTTTGAAGGCCTGTTATAGAACTTACCATTTTTTTGGCATGTTCTTCACACAGAGGTGTCTGGTGTGTAATGTCAAAAACTGGCACGGAGCACTGCTGTCCATCTGCAAACTTGGCTGTGCAACTTGAGAAGAGCTGCTGAGAGCGGTTCAAGAGGATATCTGGGTTTTTTTTTAAGTTAGGAATAAAATACATTGAAACTCTATTTAACTTTTCAATTTGTATAGAAAATTCACTTCTCTTACTTATGTTTAATAAGTATAAATTTTATTATCTATAAAAGCTAAGTACCCAACCCTACTACTGATACAGGAAAACGATAATTGTTGAAGTTACCATCATTATTTATCAGATGGTAGTTCTGAAGGAGTCTGTTATGCTAATGGGCTCCTAACACAGTCTCCTTTATGACCACTCTGAACCAAATTCTGTTATTTGGAGAAACAGGGTCATTTCTTTAACACACAAACCGCACTTGAAGTTCCACTTAATGGTTTTTTAAAAACCAACTTTTAAAAGGACAACTTTCTGCTTATAATACTCATCCAGAATAAAAATTTTAAGGCATAATTACAAAAAAAATTCATCTGTCCAAAGTTGAATTTTTCATTTTACCTTCCCCTCGCCAAACTCAAAGTCACAACTCATGAAAAATTATCTTAAATCAAAATTTTGGTATTAAAATTGGAATACCAGCTTTACATCATCAATATTTTTAAGCATTCACACTTTTAGCCACTACATTTCCATAAGATTTACCTTGTATCTATTAAGGAAGTACTTTTGTGTTTATCCTTTATGGTTTATAGTTCAGCCTGTTATAAAGCCTTTATTACATGTTATAGAAATTGCTGCTGAAAAGCTGTGAAAATATAACTCCAAGAACAGAAATGAGGGTGAAAATTAAATAGCTAGTTAAGAAGAAGAAGTAATTGCTACTATTTTTAAAACACTACTCAATTTTAAATATTTAATAAAAGTTAGAGTAATAAGATTTCATCACCAGCCTAAAGCTCCCTAACATGGGTTTTCCCCAAGTGTATTGTCTCAAGGTATCTTCTTTCCCAGTCAGTGACGTTTGTTACCTTTCATTTATTTCCAATCAGCACTGTACTTGGTACAAAGAGCAAAATTAATCCCACGCTGTAGAAGGCACACTGTAAAACTGTAACTTTTTTGGAAGACTAAAACAGTTTCTAAATTATGTGATTTGATCTTCCCATCAATGAGTGTTATAGTTGTTTCTTACAAGCTACTGGCAACCATCTGAGGGACCAGAATTCTATTAACAACATATAATTAAGTGACAGCCATCAGAAGAACCTGCTATTTGCTATCAATTTTACTTATTTTGTTGTGATTCTTTTTTTTTTATATCCCTCTTTAATAATTTAGTGTGAAATCCTAGAACATAGTCTCTTAAGGACCTCTACTGATAGACAAGCAAAACTAAAGACCAGTAGAGGCAATAAAGCAAAAGCTGAC